CCTCCCCCCCTTTTTTTTTCTCTCCATCCTCTCCCTTTCCCATTGTTGTCTATGTAACCAAAAAATAAAAATAATTTATGACATTAAAAGTGGATAATAACATAATGGTCCAAAGCAGGACGTGCAGTCAGGGGAGGCAGAGGAGGCGGGGCCTCACCAGTGTCATGAGGAAAAGAAAAGGAAAATTAAAAGGAAAAAGGCTAAGGCAGTTGCTGCCAGAGTCACAGTGGATGACTCTGAGCCTGCTTAGTGCTAACTGCAGGGGGAGGCGAGAGAACTACAGGCCTCCTTTGCCTAAGGAATTTTTTGCCTTTTAACCCTTGCTAAGAGTTAAGCAAGGGTTAAAAGGCGAAAAATTCCTTATGCAAAGGAGGCACGTGGTTCTGTGCCTCCTGATCTCACAGCAGCAACTCTTGCCTAAGTTGCCTTTTTATTTTTACATTTTTTACATTTTCATCATGGGCAGACAAGAGGAGAGTTGAAATTCTCTGTGACACAGCTGGAAAAGGTATGGGGGGAGGGGGGGAATTCAAAATTGTTGTAATTGAATTTGTAATTTTTTATTGCAAGTAATTTCTGTGTGTGTGTGTGACCGTGTGCATGTGTTTCTTTCTTCACTTCACTCAAAAAAACTCTCAATTTGAGAGAGAGTTTGTTTGAGAAGAGAGGGGCATCCCTCTCCCCCCACACTGGGAACCCCGTCCTGCTCCCCACTCCCTTTCCTCCTCCTCCTCTCCACTTTCTTTGCCGGCTGCCGCCTCGGCCCCTCCCTGCCTCCTCCGTCCCCGTCGCTGTGTCCGACAGGTGTCTCACATTTATGTCTGCCATAAATGCGAGACGCCTGGCTTTCGGACACAGCGGCGGGATCGGAGGAGGCGGGGGGAGGCGGTGGAGCACGGCAGCAGCTGGGACCTTCTTGCTGCTGTGTCTGACAGGCGTCTTACATTTATGTCCGCCAAAAACATGAGACGCCTGGCCTGTTGGACACAGCGGCGGGGTCGGAGGAGGCGGGGGGCAAGGCGGCAGAGCGCGGCAGCGGCAGGGACGTTCTCACCGCTGTGTTCGACAGGCGCCTCACGTTTATGGCAGACATAAATGCGAGACGCCTGTTGGACACAGTGGCGGGGACGTTGCTTCTTGCCACTGCCGTGCTCTTGCCTCACCAACCATAATCCTCACCACACGTCACTGGTCCAAAGATTGTTAAAGGTATATCCAGATAATTGGTACAACATGGTACTATGTCAACAACAAGCATGACTCCAAATATCCTGTCCGGAGCCCAGAGGAGATTGTCTCTAGGGCAGAGATGCTGGTGGGCAAAAAAATGGAATACAACCTCTTCACGCAAAATTGTGAGCATTGTGCCACTTCCCTGCGCTACAACGTGACCCCTTGTGATCAAGTAAGTGCGCTCTTTGTGGATTTAGACAGGTTTCTTGTAGTCCCTGTCTCAGGATGATCAAAATAGTGAAAAATAACATTGCCCCGTTTTCGTGAGTGATGAGAAGGTCATCTCACTAGGACAGTGGTTCTCAATCTTCCCAAAGCCGCGACCCCTTTAATAGAGTTGCTCATATTGTGGTGACCCCCAACCATAAAATTGGTGTCTCGGTTCCTAAGACCATCGAAAATATGTGTTTTCT